TCACAAGAACTTTTCCTAACTTTATTTTAGTAAAAAGTACGAGGCCCATTTAAAATTTAAGCTTCGATTTCATGCCAGGCGCAGTGAAAAGTGGGCTGGAAATTGAAGCCCATATGTGATATGCTACACATATTTGGAAGCCGTCGTTCAACCTCCAGTTGGCAACCTGACGTGCATGAAGACTCTAGAAAATCTTTGCGTGTGGTTCGGTTTCGATAATGAAAAGTTAATGGTCAATGTTCTGATTAATAAGCAGCATTAATAATCATGCAAAAAGATTGACCCTAAGTAGATAGTAGATACACATAAAATGGTAAAACGATGTTATTTAATCTCTTATTTAAGGATTAAACAGATATGTTTGATATGTTTATAAAAAAAAATAAGGGCATTGATCCTATCATTATGCGCCAATACCCACTTGAGTCCTTGAGGGTATCAGATGTATCAATGATTCAATATTTTAATCTTTATTCGTATTTGCATAAATAAGATTAAATTAAAAAAGGATTAAATGTAAAAAAAAAAATCTTTTTAAGAAGCTGGGTTAGATTAATTCATTAATACATGCACTCAATAGGGACTGTTCTTTCTTTCTTTCCCTTAAAAAAAAAAAACAACTCTTTTTTGGCAAATGATCGAATTCAATGAAGTAACCGTCTTTGCCTTGCATGTGTCGCCTTGTGTCATTTTTAGCTGGAGCCTGGAGGGATGAATGCATGGACAGTCAGTCACATATAAGCCGCAAATAGTTTAGGAGAAGCACAGATTTAGGAGAGAGTCACGCTTTATCTCTATCTTCTCTCTAATCAAAGCAACAGGGCATTCCTGAATTTCTTTTCATTTTTCGTTTCAAGCGCTTTTCAATTTATTTATATTTACAAATTTGTAGTTTAAATACACAACAACAGGTGGAAGAAGAAGGTGAGAAAGGGAAAGATGCAGAGGGTGACAAGTGTACACGCCCTGGGTGGGACGGAAAGTAACCTTTGAAGGAAGAGGAAGAGAAAAGCAAAGATGGATGGTTTGATTGGGTGGTAGGTGCGGTGAATGGGAGACTGACTACTCACGAGAAACTTGGGTTTTTCCGGGTCAAATTTATTCCCAAAGACCCTTTCCTTACCTTCCTCGATCCATGGCTCCGTGCCTCCCCATCAGTGGTGATCACTCATCAGCCTCTCCATTCTCACTCTTCTTTCAGCTTCCCCCCCACCTCACCCCTTTTTCTCTTGTCGTCTTTCCCTTAAATAACGCCTCTTCATCACCTCATCTCTCTTTCCTCCCATCAGTATTCTCTTCTTGTTACTCGTTAATAAGCTAATTACGGAATTTGCCCTTGGCTTTTCTGGGTGTGGAAGGGAAACATCCTGAGCCTGAGGTGACGCTGATGCCCTTCTTCCTTTTTCATTATCAAACTTTTCCCTTTTTATTTTCCACCCTTGCGTATTAAAATTGGAAAGTCTTGTTCTTCAGGAAATATAGATAGAGAGAGACATGATGAAAACAGAAGTTGGACTATTCATTATTCAAATAATTATTAGAAACACTGAAAATTTGAAAGAAAAATCTATAACACCGGAAAGACATGATACCTGAATAGCAGCAAGAGCTTTGACCAATTAAAGCATCGCCAGTAATTCTTAATTAGTCTTACGGGTTGGAAATTGATCGGTCTTATGCAAAGATTAACTTGTAAATTATAATATGCTGAGATATTCAGAATTATTTCAGATTACAGAAGTTGGGGAGAAGTTTGTTTACATTACATATTATTATATCTCTTCTATTTTTAGTGTTCCTTAAAAAAATGAATATATTCAAAAACTACTTTAGTTCTTATTGTTATGTTTTGATAATTTCAAAACTACTTCAGATGGGATGGCCTCCTATTTTACAGCCTATTTGCTTTGTAAGGTGTAATCCATTAAAGCGTAGGGTGACCGTGATTTCAGGTAACAGAATTTCAGATCGACTTTGATACGCTCAGCCTCAGCTCAACACAATCATTGCCAAATCCACCAGATTTCTTCAGCACAATCAAACCCTCTGCCCCACCCAAACAGGGCGTTTTAGAGAGAGAAGAATTATGATTCAATGAGAAAGTTCTCACATTAGAGTGAAACGAGTGTGGACAAGAGGGTTCTTCGTTCTTATCTGAGTTTTGATAATCACTTTTAAAAGAAAAGTAAAACAAACATTGGCTGCTCTGTGTACTGTGTTGTCATCCTTATCTACCCCCAAAAAAAATGTTGAAAAGAAAACATCTGAGTTTTGGCAGGGGACTGGATAATGGGAATGCTAATACCGTTGCTTGCTCAAGCTCAAGCTCAAGCTCAAGCTCAAGCACAAGATTCGTATAACACTCTCTTTGCCTGGATTTGATGGCTAGTTGGCTACGCCACGTACCCTCGTTTCAGGGTACCATTGTTTGATTGAATGAAGTGTTTGGAATAATATAGATAGGACTACTACTAGATGCCTAGCTCAAATCTTCCCTATTTTGCGCATTTGATGCGGTACCATAATTCTCGCTAAATCTCCAACATTTTCAAGCAAGCAAAAGTGACCGCTTTCAGAATTCATCAGGCTCTCAAACCTGCATTTTATTTTCAAGCTTTCAGACCAAGAATTTACCTTTGATTTGATATGATACCGTACCGATTCTTTATCAGAAAATGCGGGCTCACCAATACAACTCAAACTCAGAACTAAATCAGGTGGGTCATGCTCATTGGTAGGACGGAGTGCATCAAACCCTGGACCAAGGGGATGCATTTACACTGCTATTCATTCTTTTAATAATAACAATAATGCAACTCTAATAATGCTAACAAAAATACACACACACACAGAGTGAGATGGGAGAGCCAAACTGGCTGAGAAGCACTAAACGTAGAAGTCTCAGTCAGAGAAGTGACATTTTCATTCGATCAAGCCAACTTTAGGTACATGGGTCCGTTCCCACTTCCCACACAGTAAGCCAGACAGTTTAGCTATAAAAGTCCGGTGACCCTTGCTGATAGTACATTTCCTTTTTCTTTTTTTTTTGACATGTGTACGTCTGCTGGAGACAACAATGAAATGTATATGCGTGTTTGTTTCTTAGTGTCATAGTCTTTTGATCCATCCATGCCCATAGGCATAATAAAAAAAAGCTTCATTCCTTCAATCAGGTTGTTTGCTTATCGAAACCCCCCCCCCCCCCCCAAAAAAAAAAAGTGGGCTTCTCACAGACACAGAGGTAAAAGTATTAACTTGTTACTGTTCAAAAGTCACTTTTGATGGAAGAAAAAAACAAATTTTTCGTTAAAAGGAGGGACTAGGGAGGACCCATCATCATTTCTGATTTTTCTGGTGCTGAACTACGAATGAAATGATTCTTCTCAGGACTCACAGAGATATTTGTTTTATTTCAGAAAATGACAAAAATATACCTTTTTTTCTATGTAATAACTTCCCAAGACCCTTTTCCCTAATGTACTGTGTGCGGGATTTCAGCTAATACACCAAGGAGCCAACTCTCGTTGGTATGACAAAAATAAACCAACCCCATGCTACTATGCTACATTACTAAATGCTAATAATAACATCTTTGTTACTTATAAAACTAAAAAGCCACTTTTGAAACTTTAATGTAACTTCCCATACACATACAGCTCCCCAACCCCGCATGGTGGATGCAGCCTCAGGCTACAGCCCGCAATAGAAATCCGCCAAACTATCTTTTCTCTTAATCTAGGGGTAAGGGGTAAGGGCTGATATATAGCAAACAGGGCACAGTGACCTGTTTTCGCTGAGAGGCGCGGCAGGGCTGTCAACGAGTCTGATCTGGCACGGTGGCCTGTTTTCGGGACAGCCTGTACGAGTCCCGTCCTGATCATAACTCAAGACAAAACTATTCATCTAAAACCTTCCCTATTAATACTTAAGAAGGTAATTGGGTATGACCCCACGGTTTTAATTATGTAAACAAATAATAACCTAAAGGTTTCGATTATGACACCAAAAATACAATGGGAAAAGATTTCAACTAATAAACTGGTATCATAATCAACCAGATGGTTCGCGGGGTTCTTTGAATGATTATGATTGGTCAAAGCTTTTTTTTGATATCATACGTTTTTGGGTATTTTAAATAATATAATTTTAATCAATATGATAATAAAATAATAAATTACTTATACATATATATATATATATATATATATATTTTTTTTTTGAAAAAAAAAATATCAATTCTATGATGACAAGTATCATATTCATATCCACTATATGCAAAAATTGATTTATATGGCATGCTTTATGTGATTAGTGTGATTATGATTTTTGAATCAATTGGTATATTAGCTGGTTAACTCCAGTATATGCAGTAATTCGATTCTTGCAACTACCAATTTTGGAAAGGGGGGACCTTAATGGTGAGTATCACAAAATACTAAAAAAATATTCTTTGAATTTATGAAAGAAATATAAAAGATTTTTTGAGCCTAAAATGGAATAGCAATTTATATATTAATAAATTAAATATCACCAACCTATGAGCGACCTAGAAAACCATTCTTGATTGAAGATGCAATTTATATATTAATAAATTAAGTGTTTTAATTAATTTTTTTTATATATTATTTATAATTTTTACACTTTACATATAAAATATAAAAAAACTACAAACGACTAAGAATAGATTCGGAGTAAAGTAGAATAATTATTAATCAGAACAAAATGACATAACCAAAGCCAATGTAATCTGTTCGGATCTATCGGATAGAACCGACCCGTTAACAGCCATAGTGAGGTGGAACCCATGAGGACCCCCCTGAGACCTTAGTCCACGGGCAGGTACTAGATTATTCAAGGGCAATGGCTATGTTGGAGTGAGCGAGGGTAATGGCTATGTTGGAGCAATTATAACAATTATTCAAGGGCAATTTTGTACTTTAAATTTGTTTTCTAAAACAACCAGGCTACAGTGATAGATAAGCCACACAGAGGTCTCAGAGTAACGTTCAGACTTCAGAGCTATATCTACTACTCGTCTCTCCCCCAAATGATGTTCTGAAAAAGCTATTTTCCTTTTCCCTCTACATTTTGTTCTTCTTCACTTTCTGTTTCCTTCCGTCCTCTTTTTGCATCTCTGTTTTTCTTCTTTTTAATCTCTCGGTGAACCCACCCGAGGAAAAAAAGCAGAGGAGAAATGCTATCGAGGGTTAATGGCGTCGTTTGGATGGAGGAACCAGGAGAGGAAGAAGACGACGTTTCATGGACCAGGAACAACGTCGGAGGAGGAGCAGACAATAAAGACGAGATGGGCTCTCTGTCTACGTTCAAGTCTATGCTCGAGGATGACTGGTACGTGAATAGCAACGGAAACCCATCTCACCATGACTTTCAAACCATCCAAAGCCATCAAGAAATCAAAGACATTGCTTTCTCTTCCAACCCTTCTGCAGAGACCCTACTGTTGCAGCCGGTGGACTCTTCGTCTTCATGTTCTCCATCGTCAGTGTTCAACATTGACCCCTCCCAAGTACAGTCGTTCTTGCCTCCTAAATCTTGCTTTTCTTCTCTCCTCAACGTTGTCTGTAATAACCCTTTTGAGAATGGTTTCGATTTGGGCTGCGACCCGGGCTTTCTCGCGCCGTTGCAAGGGACCCAGAGTTCGGGCTCCCCTGTTTTGGCAAACAGGGGAAGCGGTGTCTTGAGTGGATTTAACGGTTTGACTACAGATGGTCAGATGAGTACTCCCGATCTGAGTTCTAATTCGCAATTCCCCAGTACCAGACTGCTGCCTTTGGCCGAGAACGGTTGTGCTGTCGGTGGCAGTTTCAGTTCGATTGGTTTTGGAGGTTTCGAAGGTTCTGCTAATAATCTGTTTCTGAATAGGTCTAAGGTTTTGAGGCCCCTGGAAAYTTTCCCGCCTGTTGGAGCACAGCCCACTCTTTTCCAGAAGAGAGCTGCTTTCCGGCAGAACTCTGCTGCAGCGGCGGGCAATTCGGTTTTGATGGGTTCAGAAAGTTGTCGTGTTTCAGCTAGTGTTGAGGAAAACAAGGGGAAGGGTGAGTTGGAGGAAGATCAGGAGAAGAAGAGGAAGAACAACGAGGATGATGAGGTGGAAGAAGGGAGCGTCGATGGGTCGGGTTTGAATTATGACTCGGATGAAGCTATGGAGATTAACAAGGTCGATGAGATTGTCAAGAATGGAGGCAACAGTTCCATTGCAAACAGCACTGTCACTGGTGTTGATCAGAAGGGAAAGAAGAAGGGGCTCCCAGCTAAAAATCTGATGGCAGAGAGGCGGCGTAGAAAGAAACTAAACGACAGGCTCTACATGCTGAGGTCTGTTGTTCCGAAGATTAGCAAGGTGAGAATCTATGATCTCCAACTTTGTTCTAGAGAATTATAATGGAGTTGTCTTCTCCAGACAAGTAAATGCTTTGTTTTCTGCAGCATTATTCGAGTTTAAACTGATGGTTCAAATTTTTTTTCAACATTTTTCTTTAATTCTTTTGATATGTTACTCATCCTCGAGCTTTGGAGTCTTGGAGACGGTGTTAGATGGCCACGTCCATTGCAATGGCGACGTCATAAAAGAAACTTGATTACATCTGTGTGTTAGGTTGTTAGCATTACCTTATAATAAAAGAAGCCCTGAAACCATCTCTCCTGGACTTGGTAGGCAAAAATTTGGTTTGGGAAGAGAACACGGTGTGAAATTTGGTTTTAGTGCCTAATACTCATCAGCTACTTCAGAATCTGTAGGATGGTTAGATAGGGCTGATTTTTTCATAGCTCTTGTTCATCATCACAAATGCCCTCGTATGTACAACCTCTTTTTGACACTTAAATATGGCACATTCTTCCCGCTCTCTCAAAGGGCCATTACCCAATGGAGCCGGGATTTCCTACTCACTGCGGGTAGAGAGATGTGTGACTCCGATTCACTGCGGGTAGAGTGAGTAGGAAATCCCGACTGTACCCAATGATGGTCCTAACTCCTAACTATCCGGGGTCTTTGGAGGAGGTAGACTGGATAGTTGACATCATTTTTTTTTTTGCATATAATGGCCATTCTCAGGCTTAAACCTTGTTCTAACACCATCAGTCTGAGACTTTACATCATTCCACCAAGCATTAGCCGTGAGATTTTGGGGTCATCAGGTCACTCTCCCCAGTAAGGGGATTATAGTTCGTTTCTTCCTCTTAAATAATATGAAAATATTCAATTATCTCGTTGCACTAGTAAAAAACAGACAGCTTTTTTTTGTATTTGAATAACTTGATAAGGAACTCAAGTAAGGTTTATGCCAAAATGGACCTATAGTTGGTTGAGTTCTTGTTTTGTGCTAGCCACACCACGGTAGTTTGTAAGCTTTACCTAATTTATTGTGCCTTGAGAAAAATGATTTTTTTTTTTTGTGAAGTGAAAAACAATTGTGATATGGGTTTAATTTTCCATTCTTGATTAACAGATGGATAGAGCTTCAATCCTTGGAGATGCAATAGATTACTTGAAGGAGCTTCTGCAAAGGATCAATGACCTCCACAATGAACTAGAGTCAACGCCTCCTGGTTCTTCCATGCCATCTAGTACGAGCTTCCACCCTTTGACACCCACGCCTCCTACCCTTCCCTGCCGTGTCAAGGAGGAACTCTGCCCAAGCTCATTGCCAAGTCCAAATAACCAACCTGCAAGGGTAAATTATAATCAACTTGAAGTGGAAAAAAGGAAACTATTTTTTGACTCAATGGATTTGTTTCTCTTATTATTGATTACATAGAAATACATCTACTCTGTTTTCTTCTGCAATGCCAGGGTTTTAATTTCAATTTGTTTAACTTGCGTTGATAGACTGTTTTTGTTCCAACTCAACCAAGTTAATTGGTGCATGTTTAGGAAGCTATTTGGTTGTGTTGGTATTTTGTTCATTTGAGTGCGCATACGTTCTTCTTTAGTAGAAATTTTAACAATAATAGGATCTGGTTATTTTAATAGTTGAAGCTATTTGGTTGACGAACTTGTGTATTCAAAGATTTAGAGGAACCCAAACTGCAATAATTTTATCCATGTTTCTTCTGAACACCCCCTTACTGATTAAAATTGATGCTAAAAGGTGGAGACTTGCCAATGGCATTTTTTTCTACTAATAGCTCTAATGTCTATGTACAAGGTGAATTACAGGATGCGCCACCCTACATCTCACCATATGCATTTCACGTGTACATCAACCTGGGAGTAGTTGACAGCCCTTACAAGATACCTCTGCTGCAAAAGCCAATTGAGTGCCCTGAACTATCCAGTTTGAGATACATAGGGCTGATTTTGCATATAAGGCCTAAAGAACAAGTTACTATAGTATCAATACTCTATTGCACAACTATATTACTCCTTGGTTTCACCCCTTTTCTTCATTTATAGCAGTTGAGTTGGAACTGAGCTTTGTTATTTCCGTGGAATTGTTGTATTTGTTTTTCAAGATGAATAATCTATTTTTTAGGTAACTTGGTGAACTCATCTTCTATTATGATCCAAGGAAACCGTTTTTATGTGTTGTCTGTTATCTATATTTGTAGGTTGAAGTCAGGGTAAGAGAAGGAAGAGCTGTGAACATCCACATGTTTTGTGCCCGCAGACCAGGCCTCTTGCTCTCCACCATGAAGGCTCTTGATACCCTTGGTTTAGACATCCAGCAGGCTGTCATTAGCTGTTTTAATGGGTTTGCTCTGGATGTTTTCCGAGCTGAGGTAAGCTTCTTGTTATCAGCATTTTTTTACTCTGATAGGTTGGAAATTTGGAATGCTTGCAATGCTAGGCATCTTCTGATGGAAATTTGGAATGAACAACGAAATTAGATGGTCATTCTCCATTATTTGATTTCTACTCAAACTAGAAGTTGCAATGATTTAAAAAAGGATGATCTCATTGCTACCACTATGGTACAAGGAATACATGCATGGTGGGGGTTGGGGGGTACAATGCTGAATGCTCTGTTTAGCTTGATACAAATGTATTTTTCATTCAACGCTACTAGTTGTTTACCGTGAAACTTGCATTTCTTCTGGCCATCCAGAGTAAAGAGATGATCTATTGTTTATTGTCATCCCATTGAGTTCTGTGTTGAGTGCCGTGAACATGTATGATGGTTCGTTTTGTTTCCATTTTATCAGCAATGCAAGGAAGGCCCAGACGTCTTGCCTGAGGATATCAAAGCAGTACTGCTGAGTTCGGCTGGCTTCCATGGGATGATGTAGCGCTTCCTCAATGATCAAGGACTATTTTTAGCGGGAAAAAAAACAGACAGAAAACGTCATCTCTGAGTACAGTCTGTAAATGCAATCTGGCTCTCGTGTGACAGTTAAATGATGCCGCCAATCCAATTTCTTCAGTAGGTTAGGAATGTTAACCAGAATTATGAGTTGGATTATGTTAGTGGGGAGCATTCTCCCTTTATCACTAGGGTTGAAAAGTAAAAAAAGTGCGTAATCCTCCTCGGCAATATTTGGTTTTAAATAATATTTCTTTTTTGAATCACATCGGTCTCCTCTCACATGGAATTTGTTTACTTGCATTTCAAGTCATTTAGGTGTTTAACCCTGTATTTTACTGATCATTGTGCGAGGGTCCCATTATGTGTGGTTTGATAGAAAGATAACAGAGAAACCGAAAGTTGACGGAAATTTGTTAACAACTTTCCCCGATTCCCTCAACTTTCTGTCTCTTCTCATCAAACCAACCACAGCCTAACGAGTGTCTGACTGACGTTTAAAGTGCAAGAGTTATGCCATTAGGCATCAGTTTCTCTATCAGGTAATGTGAATCCTGCTCGTGTTTGGTAACAATTTTGATATTCTTCTACACTTCGGGATTTCTGCTGTCGCTATTATTCTTGTATTCTAACATTGTTTCAAGTAAAAGTTATCCTTCATCAGTGTGGTGAGTTGGTGACTGGCTTACTGCTTCTTTCTTTCCTTTTTTATGAATGTGGTCAAAAAACTCTTATTGCTTCCCCCCCTTCAGTCTTCACAACTCACAAGCCTAGCAAATAATTACAAGCAGCGATTGCAACAGCTTCTAGGCTTGGCATGTTGTTAATGCACCCGTCTTTAAGGGCTATGGACTTAATAGACTATGGTATAGGCCCGTTGCTATGGACTCAAAGCAACGGGCCTTCTGGGCCATTGGATATTCTGTTTAATCTCTTCAAAGTTCAAAATGCGCTTCCCACGGTCTTTTTTTTTTTTATTTTGTTTGCCAACTTTTTCTTTAAAACCCCTTAAAAGCAAAATCTTGGGATTGCCCTTGAAGGTAAAATTTTACAGACACAACGATTAAAGAGAAATTTCCCATACATAATCCACTCAATACAATAATCCTTCACTTTATTGAAATTAAGAGAAAATTGTACTTCAATGTTCATTGTATTGAAACATATTAGCCCGTATCGGTTGATATGTATCATTCTGGCATATTGGGCATTTTGATACGCCCTTATCGGCATCGATGCTGCGCAATCTAGCTGCTCCCTACTGGAGGTAATTTGGCTTCCAGGTGGATGGCGGACAGTTGATCTGCAAGAGGATCAGAGAACTCGGGGTTGCTAGCGCGGCGAGGTCGCTCCGATGCTTAAGTCAGTATACTTGTTGCGAGCTAAAAATGGTTTAAGAATGCAGAGAGCTAGAGAGCATATAAATCACGCGTACCTTGAACCTCCAGGGGTGGAGCCTTTATATAGTCGAGTCATCGTGGGTTTTGCGGATCAGTTTCAGGATCTTTGTCACGATAGGACCCGTTTCCGCGTTAGTTGGAAGATAATGCAGCCAACCGATAAGGTTCATCACTTTCGCCCGAACTAGTCGGGGAGATAATGCTAGTTGTTACGCGGCATGATCTCATGAGGCTCGGGATCCGTTGGAGGGGTTTTTGGGATCACCACGTAGTGGCATGTCGATATCCCTGAATTAATGTCTTTCAGTCCCGAACTGGGTTGAGTGCCGAAGTGCCTTGGCATCGAGGTGTTCTTGTTGCGATTTGGTACCGAGGCGATCTCGTCTTGAGGTGGCCTTGTCTCGAGGTCACTTTAGCCCGAGATGGTTGGGTACCCGAGCTCGATCTACTGTGGACTGGTCATGATAAGCTGAGTTGTCATCTCTTGATCAGGTCGTGTCCACGTATCCCCTCTTTACTAGGTCGGACCAAATCACCCTTCATCATTTTCCCCCCACTCCCCGAGCCAGGGGTCCTAACCCGGTGCGGGGAGTTCATGACGAGACAAGTGGATTTGGCCCGAGGTCCAGGCGGCTTGTCGGACGAATCGCTAGTCGGACTTGTTCGGCTATCCAACTCAACCAGAAATAACCCAGGTTGTGTCTGGTTCACGCGCAGACATCATGCGATCTACAAACTCCGCGAAAGTCAAAAAACGCGTTAAACCGATTTCAACATCGGGGGTTGCGCAACCGGTTTTCCTAGGAGCTGTTGGATTGCCTCAATCTCGACCGTAGATTTTCGAACATACCGGCTATAAATAGAGGCCCGAGACTCATTTTCTTCGCCACAAATTCGCAAATCTTCGTTCTAAGGTCGCATTCAAGCTTCTTTGCTCGGTTTCTCCAGTCTGGTGTCTTCTTTCAATTCGGTCTTCCTTTTGCGAGTCTTCCCTAGCTCTCCTTTTCTGCTTGTCTTTTCTTCACAATGTCTAGTTTTAGTTTAGATAATCTTTTAGATGAGAGCGGTGAATCCGCTGGGGCCGAGGTGGGTACCTCGGCTCAAGTCGTAGATCGCCTTACCGAATAAGCTACTTCGAGTCAAGGAGCAATCCGCGGTCCTCCTGAGGTGGAATTACCTTGGGAGGCACGAGAGACCCGGTGGTCTGGTGTCCACCTCGCACTGAGGTCAGCAGCCAGATAACTTTGGCCCATCGACGATGACAACGGACAAGCTCCAAGCCTTAGTAGCTCGGTATAGGCTTCCGAGTGATCTTATCTATAGTCTTCCGATAGGTAACTTTCCCTGGGAGCACGGTCACGACGAGATCGTGATCTTCGAGGAACAACTCGCGGCTGGTCTTCGTCTTCCATTTCACCCCCTGATCGTCGAACTCATTAAACTCTTCAACATCACCATAGATCAGTTGCACTCGAACTGCTTTCTGTTGTCGGAGATAAGTACCCGAGGTAGCCCGAAGTGACATACTATATTCCTCCGAAAGAAATTTTGTATGTTGCGGGATGTGATCGTTGTTAGGGGTTCCGCCTCCACCCACTTCGTGAAGTAATCCACTGCTACCACCATGAATCTCCTCTGTCTTGTCACTGGTGGGAAAGGGCCAAGAATGTCGATTCCCCACTGTGCGAAGGGCCATGGGCCGGTGAGATATTTAAGGTCGGTAGCAGGTCAGTGGTGGATGTTGGCATGCCTTTGACACTTATCGCACTTCTTGACGAGCTCGAGTGCGTCTGTCTTCATTGTGGGCCAATAGTACCCTTGTCGCAACGCTTTCTGGGCGAGAGCCCTGCCCCCCAAGTGTCCACCACACAAGCCTTCATGAGTGTCGCGGAGAACGAGCTCGGCCTCTAAGGGTCGCAAGCAGCGCACGTAGGGGAGCGTGAAAGACCTCCGGTACAGCTGTCCATCTATAATGACGTACTTCGCTGACTGGCGGTCTACCCTTCGGGCCACATTGCGATCTGTAGGGAGAGTCCTGTGAAGCAGATAGCTCGCGAGTGGGTCAATCCAGTTCGACTCTGCTTGTACTACAAGAACGACCTCTTCTGCCCCCCCCCCGAGAATGCTAGGCCGAGGCAAGTCCTCATTGTATTATTGCTTGTGCTGGCTAACCAGGACAAGGTGTTGGCCTCAGCGTTCTCGGATCTCGGGACTCGAGAGCATTTCTTCTTTGCTCCTCCTGTCGATCTGCTTGGTTTTTATTTTCTTTTTGTATGAAATTTTTTAGATATCCGCGATGGATGAGTTCTTCGATCTCGTCGCGGAGGTTTCTACATTTTTCGGTATTATGACCGTGATCTTTGTGAAAGTGACAATACATGTTCTTGTTTCTGGAGGTGGGGTTCCCCCTCAACCGAGGTGACCACTTGACATAGGAGTCCTTGATTGCCATAAGGATTTATCCTCGCTTCGCGTTGATAGGTTTGTAGCTCGTTCATTCAACTGGCGGAGTTCGGGAACGCCGACCTGACCTATGAGATTGTGAAGGAGATCGGCTCCCAGACTTGTTTCCTCCCCTAGTCAGGGACTTGCTCTTTCTTCGCTTGCTGCCACCGTTACCTACGCTGTCACCTTCTCTTTTCCTCTTTTCTATTGGATTCTCAGTCTTTTGGTTCATTTCTTCCTCGGTCCCGATGAACTGATCGACGAGCTTGAGGAATTCCGTGATGTCCTTTGGCTTATTGGCCACCACGTGCCACTTAAGTTCTCTGTGTTATACCTTTCTTCGCCGTCGTGAGCCCCTCACTATTGGATCTAGATCAGGGATCTGCAAGCAGGTGTCGTTGAAACGTTTGATATAGCTTCTAATCGACTCCCCTTCTCTCTGAACTATGTTTAGGAGGCTTTCTTGTGACCTCAGACACTTATTGCTGGTGATGAAGTGCAAGGTGAACAACTCTACGAACTGCGCCCAACTTCGGATCATCCCTGGCGCGAGGTTCCTGTACCACGTGCGAGCTACTCCTTTAAATGTTGTGGAGAAGGCTACGGACATGTAGGACTCGTCAGCCCCAGCTAGGTGCATTTAGGACTGGAAGGAGTCTACATGATCATTTGGATCGAAGGATTCATCGTACTTGTCCAGAGGAGGCATTTTAAAGTCTTTTGGCATTGAGACCGCTCGAAGCTCGGAGGATAGAGGAGACGACCTGGACAGGAGAGGAGCAGTCTTAGCGGTTGTCGAGCTCACCTCCTCTTTACCTTTCACTTGTTTTGGTTGGCTGGGAACGACGAGCTGGCTACGAGCTGTAGTTCGTCGTGCCTTGCGACGCTTTTGTTGTTGTTTCTTGACCGACTCCGCATTAGTGCTGCTGGCTTCCGTATGATCTGGTACCATTCTGGCACGGAGTGGCTCTGGGTGCTGAGCCTGACTACCATGGATGGATGGGCCTTGTTTTGAGTTTGCGGCCATGGGCCCGAACTGGTTGCCTGCGAGCGAGCCCTCTTGATGAGAAGGCCGAGGTAACGTGGATCTGTCGGGCTGAGTATCTCCCGATCTATTCAAGTTGCGCTGAGAAGCGGGCGGGGTGACTTGTTTGTCCCTCCTACTGTTGGACGGGACCTGACTCCCAAGAGGAAGTGGGACTTGGGAGGTCTCGCCACAACAGGGAGAGCGATTCTGCTGACGACGGCGGGATTGATTTTGCTACGCCGTCGGATGTCGAGGTGGAACCGGCTGCGGATTCTGCTTTACCGGAGGGAATTGCTGTTGGTACTGTTGCTGGTAAAAGTGATGGAGGACTTGTTGCTGATAATGCTAGAACTGCTGGACCTGTTGCATTTGGACCTGGATGGCCTGAACGTAG